TACTTGTATTTGTACTTGTACTCGTACTTGTACTTGTACTCGTGTACTTACTGTACTTGTACTTGTATTTGTACTTGTACTCGTACTTGTACTCGTACTTGTATTTTCTTGTACTTACTTGTACTTGGTACGTACTTGTACTTGTTGTATTTGTACTTGTACTCGTACTTGTTTGTACTTACTTGTACTTGTACTTTGTACTTGTACTTGTACTTGTACTCGTACTTGTATTTGTACTTGTACTTGTACTTGTATTTGTACTTGTACTCGTACTTGTATTTGTACTTGTACTCGTACTTGTATTTGTACGTGTACTCGTATTTGTACTTGTACTCGTGCTTGTATTTGTACTCGTACTTGTATTTGTACTTGTATTTACTTGTACTCGTACTTGTACTTGTACTCGTACTCGTACTTGTACTCGTACTTGTTTTGTACTCGTATTTGTACTTGTACTCGTACTTGTATTTGTACTCATACTTGTATTTGTACTTGTACTTGTATTTGTACTTGTTCTCGTACTTGTATTTGTACTTGTACTCGTACTTGCACTTGTACTCGTGCTTGTATTTGTACTCGTACTTGTATTTGTACTTGTATTTGTACTTGCACTCCTACTTGTACTCGTACTTGTACTCGTACTTGTACTCGTACTCGTACTCGTACTTTGGTGCCCGTGATAAACCACACACAGATTAAAATCATTCTAACTGAAGCATCCGTCAGAAAACAAACTGAAAAGTTACAACTTCAAGAATCACAATCACCAAATTAAATGAGAAGGTTTCACTTTCTTCAGCACGAACACGAATCACAGACGCGACTCGACTCTCATCACTTCACATGAACAGAAGAAACACTGATCAAGATGCCACAGACTGAACTAGGACTAAACCAGGACTGAACCAGGACTGAACCAGGACTCACTGTTCGGGCTCGGAATTGTGCCCGTGTAGACCGTCGAGTGACCACAGGGGAAAAGGACCACGCACCCTGCTCCACAGGCTCGGGGTTCTTTCTCTTAAGATCAAGATTAGTCCTGGTGTAGACCTTGTTTAGTCCTGGTTTAGACCTTGTTTGGACCTGGTTTAGACCTGGTTTAGTCCTGGTTTTGTCCTGGTTTAGTCTTGGTTTAGTCTTGGTTTAGTCCTGGTTTAGACCTTGTTTGGACCTGGTTTAGACCTGGTTTAGTCCTGGTTTAGACCTTGTTTGGACCTGGTTTAGTCCTGGTTTTGTCCTGGTTTAGTCTTGTTTAGTCTTTTAGTTTAGTCCTGGTTTAGACTGGTTTAGTCCTGGTTTAGTCTTGGTTAGCCTGGTTTTGTCCTGTTTTGTCCTGGTTTAGTCTGGTTTAGTCCTTGGTTTAGTCCTGGTTTGACCTGGTTTAGTCCTGGTTTAGACCTGTTTAGACCTGGTTTAGACCTGGTTTTAGTCCTGGTTTAGTCCTGGTTTACCCTGGTTTAGTCCTGGTTTTGGTTTTGTCCTGGTCCTGGTTTAGACCTGGTTTTTAGACCTGGTTTAGGACCTGGTTTAGTCCTGGTTTAGACCTGGTTTAGTTGGTTTAGTCCTGGACCTGGTTTAGTCCTGGTTTAGACTGGTTTACCTGGTTTAGTCCTGGTTTAGTCCTGGTTTAGTCCTGGTTTAGACCTGGTTTAGACCTGGTTTAGTCTGGTTTGACCTGGTTTAGTCCTGGTTTTGACCTGGTTTAGTCTTGGTTTAGTCTGTTCCTGGTTTAGACCTGGTTTAGACCTGGTTTAGTCCTGGTTTAGTCCTGGTTTTTGACCTGGTTTAGTCCTAGTTTAGACCTGGTTTAGTCCTGGTTTAGTCCTGGTTTAGACCTGGTTTAGACCTGGTTTAGACCTGGTTTAGACCTGTTTTAGACCTGACCTGCCCACATACCTGCCCATAAAAATTCCAGAACATTAAAACTCGCCCGTTTCAGCGACTATTTGCAGATACTCGACCCGGTGCAGGACTCTGAGCAGCTCTCGCTCTGATTGGTCCAAACGCTCCAGACGTCACACGGTGGGAGGAGCTCGCCCAGATTCAGGAAGAGAACATTATTTTTGACACAGACCCTGAAAACAACCTGACACATGTTGGATTCAGCTGCAGATTTGATCAGAGTTTTGTGGCTTTGACTCCTGGAACTGTTGACGTCGCTCAGTCCTGGTCTTCACTCGTCTGTGGGTCCGGTCTGGATTTAAACAAACGTGATTTCACTGGAGATAAACATGAGTGTTAAATGTGTTTAAATCAGAATCGTCCACGGTGGATCTGACGTGTGTTTGTGTTTTTCTCCTGCAGTTCGATGGTGCGTTCGTGGTCAGTGGGTCGTTGGACACGTCCATCAGAGTGTGGGAGGCGGACACAGGTACGACCTCGTTTTCTCACCGTCTTTTTCAACAGATTCATGAGTCAAATGGAAAAGACACAAACACAAATGCAGACACACAAACACGAGGTGCACATGACGGAGTTTCCTTCAGGATCAGTGAAGTGTTTATATTTTTATCTTTGATTAAACACAGTCTCGGGGGTCTTGGTTTTCTGCGGCGCTGCCCTCGCCCTCTGAAACTCTCCACCCAAACACAAAACACACCAGAGACTCATCCAAACGCCCCGAAAACTCTCCTCATCCAAACACACTTTAAATATCTGCTCCTCCTGTTCTCGTTTTTTTTTTAAGAGACGACAGTAAATGCACTGACAGGATTTTAAATGTTCAAAAACTATAATCCCAAACCATAAACCAGGAGTGTTAAACTCATTTTGTTCCGGGGGTCGTGTCCGGATCAGAAAACTCATGTCATATAAACCCCAAAAATAAAAATAAGTTCAAATATTTGTGCAGAGAAACACAAATCTATTACACAAATCTTTTTTAATTGATGAACTCTTTCTTTTACAAAATATTATAATATTATGAACAACCTGAAACTTTAAGAAAAACAATTTCAACACAAAGTTTTAACATGAACTTGTCTGCAAACAGGAATAAGTTCATTTTTGTTGTAAAATCCTGCACTCGGCTCCACTTTTCTCATGTTGGACATTTTTCTGATGAGGGGTGTCACGGTCAACAGTCAAAACCATCGTCCTTTAAGAGCGTTTGGAAAGAGACAAGTCTTCATTTGTGCTGCTCTGGTGGGAGGGGCCACGTACAGAGACGCTGGAGACGCTGCTGTGATAAACACCACACAAAATTAACAACATTTTAATAGAAAATATCATTAAATATTTGAGTAGAAAATCAGCCGAGGGTCAGATTAAAGGTCTTGGAGGGCCGGATCTGGCCCCCGGGCCGTGTGTTTGACACCTGTGCCATCAGGTGAGTGGAAAGAGTTAAACATTTCAGATTTAGACCTAAAAGTCTGATCAGTTCTACACATGGAGGTGCTGGAAAGTCCTGGAAAATTCACTTTAGCTCATGAAAAAGTCATGGAAAAGTTTGAACATTTTGCAAGTGGGAAGAGAAATACATGTTTTTATTTGTACAAAAGTGAAAAATGATCTGTGATTTTTACTTCCACGTAGGAAACATTTGTGGCGTCACTGTGGATGTTAAAAGTTAAACATTTATCTATAAAATGTGTGTGTGTTTTCATGTTTATTTTGTAAACAATTTAGATTCTTTTACAAAGGAACAGAGTTTTATCTTTGTGACGTTAGCGTTAGTAAAATCAGAAAAGAAATCACAACAACAACAAAAATGTCCCCAAAAAGGAGCATGAAGAAGAAGATTCCTTTAATCCCACCTCCTCTTCAAATTTAACATCACGAACTTTCTTTGTTCTTCAGACATTTAACACATTTTGTCCTGTTTAACGGTGTTTGTGTTTATGTTCATGTTCATGTTTGTGTTTATGTTCGTGTTCATGTTCATGTTCGTGTGTGTTCATGTTCGTGTTCATGTTCGTGTTTTCATGTTCATGTTCATGTTCGTGTTCGTGTTCATGTTCATGTTCGTTTTGTGTTCATGTTCGTGTTCATGTTCGTGTTCATGTTCATGTTCATGTGTTCGTGTTCATGTTCATGTTTGTGTTCATGTTCGTGTTCATGTTCATGTTCGTGTTCGTTTGTTTCATGTTCATGTTCGTTTCATGTTTCATGTTCGTGTTTGTGTTCATGTTCATGTTTGTGTTCATGTTCGTGTTCATGTTCGTGTTCATGTTCATGTTCGTTCATGTTCATGTTCATGTTCATGTGTTCATGTTCGTGTTCATGTTCATGTTCGTGTTCATGTTCGTTCATGTTCGTGTTCGTGTTCATGTTCGTGTTTGTTGTTCATGTTCATGTTCATGTTCATGTTCATGTTCATGTTCATGTTTGTTTTCAGGTAACTGTGTTCACACTCTGACCGGGCACCAGTCTCTGACGTCGGGCATGGAGCTCCGGGACAACATGCTGGTGTCTGGAAACGCCGACTCGACGGTGCGAGTGTGGGACGTCCGGACGGGACAATGTCTCCACACGCTGCAAGGTACAAACTCCAGTTTACTTCTTTTCTCTTCTCATTTATTCTTCTGTTTCTTTTAAAATCACCTTTTACAAGATTCATTTTTTACGAGAGTCTTTACTCAATGGTATCGGACTGGTATCGGTATCGGGGAGTAGCCCACAGTCTAGTATCGGTATCGGATCAGATCCTAAAGAAAAGATTATCGGAACAGCAGAGTCTCCAAGAGCTCAGCTCCTTTTCCTTCAGTTTGAAGCAGCAGAATCTGGTTCCTCCGGTTCTTTCCCTTTAACCTGTCGCTCCTGTCGTCCCTGTCGACCCTGACACCTGTCGTCCCTGTCGTCCCTGACACCTGTCGTCCCTGTCGACCCTGACACCTGTCGTCCCTGTCGTCCCTGTCGACCCTGTCGTCCCTGTCGACCCTGACCCACCCTGTCGTCCCTGTCGACCCTGACACCTGTCGTCCCTGACACCTGTCGTCCCTGTCGACCCTGACACCTGTCGTCCCTGTCGTCCCTGACACCTGTCGACCCTGTCGACCCTG